CCCCCACCCCCAAAAAAAAAAAACCCTCCAACCCACAAACAAAAAAAAAATTATTTTCTCCAATGTTAGACTACTCGATCCTTCTCTTATTTTAGAGTTAACTATTTATTTAGCCCTCAAACTATATGGTTTGTCAGTTAAGCCCCTCAACTTGTCAATGTATGCAATCAAGTCCTTTCATCCAATTCAGTCGTTTATTGTGACGGAAAAGTGCACGCATGACTCACGTGAGACAAGGTTAGGGGTAATTAAGGGAATGGCAATTGTTTGTCTCTTTCAAGGTAAATTGGCTCAATTGTTCGTCTCTTCCTTATTCAAAAAAGAAAAAAAAAATTGTTGGTCTCTTCTCATAGAAATACCCATCAGATTTCATCCATTGTTCACAAACTCTACCTTAATCAATTGTTCTTTTGTGCTTGTGGCTTACCAGAACGATGTCTTGGGTGTTGTGACCTGTAGATCAATTTTTGGATCCAGATAAAATNTGTCTCTTCCTTATTCAAAAAAGAAAAAAAAAATTGTTGGTCTCTTCTCATAGAAAAACCCATCAGATTTCATCCATTGTTCACAAACTCTACCTTAATCAACTGCTCTTTTGTGCTTGTGGCTTATCAGAACGATGTCTTGGGTGTTGTGACCTGTAGATCAATTTTTGGATCCAGATAAAATATATTGTAAGTCATGATTCTAAGTTTTTATAAGTGTTTGAATGAAGATGAATATTATATTATTTGATTTTTAGGATTCAATTGTCTATTGGTGTTGAAAGATCTATCTTTTGCTTTTTTGTCTTGTATTATATGTTGATGTAAGTGGTCCCAGAAGTTTGATTATTTGTGTTTTAGAATATTAGAATATATTTTTTTGTGTGGTCCCAATAACAGAGGTCCCAATAAAGTGTTATAATCCATTAGTTTATGTGATTTTTACTGTAATTTTGCATGGTTTCAACCATATACTCTACTTTATTCAGCATTGAAGTACACTATGGGGTTAAGTTTATAAGCATACCATATAAGAAATATGTGGGTGGTTCTACTGTGTACATTGACTAGGTTGATGTAGAAAAAATTTCGATTTCAGAGATTCATTGCATGGCCAAAGAGATTGGGTGTGTTGATGTAAGGGCATGCTGGTATAGAGTTCCTGCAATGGACATCATCAGTGGGTTAAGGGTTTTGGAATATGATACATACATTCTTTCAATGGTGGAATGGATACCAACATATAGAGTGATTGAGATATACTTAGNGGTGTTATAATCCATCAGTTTATGTGATTTTTACTGTAATTTTGCATGGTTTCAGCCATATATTCTACTTTATTCAGCATTGAAGTACACTATGGGGGTAAGTTTATAAGCATACCATATAAGAAATATGTGGGTGGTTCTACTGTGTACATTGACTAGGTTGATGTAGAAAAAATTTCGATTTCAGAGATTCATTGCATGGCCAAAGAGATTGGGTGTGTTGATGTAAGGGCATGTTGGTATAGAGTTCCTGCAATGGACATCATCAGTGGGTTAAGGGTTTTGGAATATGATACATACATTCTTTCAATTGTGGAATGGATACCAACATATAGAGTGATTGAGATATACTTAGGCCATGAGGCAACAGTAAATGAAATGCAAGGCCAAGTGCAATTAAGTACTAGTGATAGTAACTTTGATCCTGATAATGCTTCAACAAGCTCTGCTAGTAGTTCAGAATCTGCAAATAACACTGATAATGAATTGAATGAAGATGAGGTGTTGATTGATACGATTGTTGATAATGCACCCAAGTGTAGTGGTATGAGATCTACCTAGAAGAATGTAAGGCTTGATGATTATAATATTGTTTCAGAGTGTTAAGAATAATAAAGTAGTAGTATGTGTAAATTGTTNAAGGGTTTTGGAATATGATACATACATTCTTTCAATTGTGGAATGGATACCAACATATAGAGTGATTGAGATATACTTAGGCCATGAGGCAACAGTATATGAAATGCAAGGCCAAGTGCAATTAAGTACTAGTGATAGTAACTTTGATCCTGATAATGCTTCAACAAGCTCTGCTAGTAGTTCAGAATCTGCAAATAACACTGATAATGAATTGAATGAAGATGAGGTGTTGATTGATACGATTGTTGATAATGCACCCAAGTGTAGTGGTATGAGATATACCCATAAGAATGTACGGCTTGATGTTTATAATATTGTTTCAGAGTGTTAAGAATAATAAAGTAGTAGTATGTGTAAATTGTTAATAGTAAAAGGGATGTATGTGTTATTATTATTATTGTAAGTTAACTATAAATACAAGTTATGCATGAGAGTTAGGTTAAATTTTCTAACCTCTCTCTTTCTCCCTAATATTGCCTCTAATATTGTATTATATTAATTCTCTTAACTTAACATGGTATCAAAACATTAATCTTGGTGCTGTTATTGTTGGTGGTAGTCGATGGTGTGCTATTGTTCGGCGTCGTGGTGGTGTTCAACAGCGACGAGTGGTGGCTTGTGGTAGTCGATTGGTGTGGTTGACGTTGGTGGTAGTCGACGGTGTGCTACTATTCGGCGTTGTGGTGGTGTTCAATAGTGAAGGTAGTCGACTGTCTTCGTGGTGGCAATTGTTCGTCGTGGTGTAGTCGCCTATCTTCGTGGTGGTCTGTGGAGGTGTTTTGGTGGTGTCCGGTGTTGTGGTGTGGTGGTGTTCGGTGTTGTGGTGGTGTTCAACAGTGAAAGCATAGGGTTTGGTAGAAACCCTAACCAACGAAGGAGAAGATCTGTTCCAGCCAGACCGGTCCAGACCCAGTTCAGTATCCTGATAAAGTCCAGCCAGACCGGTCCAGACCCGGTCCAGTCCAGACCAGACTAGACCGGTCCAGACCCGTTTCAGTTTGGTTCAGCTTTCAAGTGGGCTTCTCCTGTCCAGTTCAGTCCTGCAACACTTCTTATTTGCTATCTGCTTTGCTATTTGCTGCATTATTATGGAACCCAAAAATCTTGTGTTGCCNGGGTCAGTTACTATTACACTGGTCGAGAGGAGTATGCTCAGTTCCTGTCCTAGCAACAAGCTGTTTCATCTCCCTCCACTGCTACTTTTGCCCAGTCAGATACTGCTTCCACATGTTTAATGTCCTCCACCCGCAGCCCTTGGATCATAGATTCTGGTGCCTCTGACCACATGACTGGTGCGTCTGACGTTTTCTCTACTTATCAGTCTGCTATTTCTGCACGTAGTGTTACTCTTCCTAATGGTACTTATTCTAAAGTTTCNTTTGTAGTTCCTAATAACCATAGTGATGGTCATCGAGGTGGTCGCGGAGGTCGTACGGGTGATCGTGGAGGTCGTAATGGATCTCGTTCTTGTACTCACTGTCGCCGTGGAGGACAAACTGTTGATTTCTGTTGGGATTTACATGGAAAACCCTCTGGTACTGCTAATCAGGTTTCTTATCAGGATGACACCTCGATTGTTGCTTCTATACCTCGGTCAGCTCCACCAGACACTAGGTCAGTTACTATTACACTGGGTCGAGAAGAGTATGCTCAGTTCCTGTCCTAGCAACAAGCTGTTTCATCTCCCTCCACTGCTACTTTTGCCCAGTCAGATACTGTTTCCACATGTTTAATGTCCTCCACCCGCAGCCCTTGGATCATAGATTCTGGTGCCTCTGACCACATGACTGGTGCGTCTGACGTTTTCTCTACTTATCAGTCTGCTATTTCTGCACGTAGTGTTACTCTTCCTAATGGTACTCATTCTAAAGTTTCAGGTCTTGGGACTACTCACTTGAGTCCTGATATGTCCCTATCTTTCGTGTTATTTGTTCCTTAGTTTCCTTTTAGTTTACTTTCCATTAGTAAGATTACTCGTTCTCTCAATTGTTCG